GTTAAGTATTTGAAAAATCCATTGAAACCAGACATCGTAGGTTCATCTTAGTTTGGGTAGTTCGTAAGTCTCTAGCTTTGGACAAGGTTTTGTATTTTTCTCAGAAGATTGATAAAGAATGTATTATTACTTTGGTAATTATTGTGTGTATATTAGTCGCCAACGTATTGCATGAGTCGTACTACTAATCCAGGGGTCAGCAAACTTTTTCAGCAGGGGCCCAGTCCACTGTCCCTAAGACCTTGTGGGGGAGGGGGGCCAGACTATATTTTGAAAAAATAATAATGAACAAATTCCTATGTCCCACAAATAACCCAGAGATGCATTTTAAATAAAAGCACACATTCTACTCATGTAAAAGCACACTGATTCCCAGACCGTCCAGATTTAGAAAGCGATTGGGCCAGATCCAGAACCTGGGCCTTAGTATGCCTACCCATGCCCTAATCCTTAGAGCTACTTGGTGGGAAGAGACCTGAGGAGGAGCCATACTGACAGAGCAAGGGCTGTAGCTCATTAGTAGAATATCTGCCTTGAATGCAGAAGGTCCCAAAATCAATCCCTTGCTTCTCTAGGCAGGGTTAGGGGAGACTGTCTGAAGCCCTGGAGAGCTCCCGCAAATCATTGTAGATAATACTGATTGTGAGCTAGACCAATGGTCTCACTCAGTGTAAGGCAGCTTCCTATGTGGATAGCTCAGTTAGTTAGAATGCGGTGCTGATGACACAAAGGTTGCAGGTTCGGTAACTGTATGGGAGAGATGCATATTCCTCCATTGCAGGGAGTTGGCCTAAATGCTCCTCAGGCTCAGGGTCCCTTCCAACTCTACAATTCTGTGATGGTTTACTCAGAAATAAGTCCCAGAAATATGCAGTGCTTTCTTCCTAGTAAAAAAGGTAAAGGACCCCTGGACGGTTAAGTCCAGTCAAAGGCGACTGGGGTGCGGCACTCATCTTGCTTTCAGGCCAAGGGAGCCGGCGTTTGTCTGCAGACAGCTTTCTGGGTCATGTGGCCAGTGCGACTAAACCACTTCTGGTGCAACATAACACTATAACAGAAGTCAGAAGCACACGGAAATGCCATTTACCTTCCTGCTGCAGCAGTACCTATTTATCTACTTGCACTGGTATGCTTTCAAACTGCTAGTAAATGTGTTGAGGATAGTGGCCAAAGTTAGCAGCATAACAAGACTCACCTTTTGAGTATAAATGCATGAAATTGTACTGTTAGTTTTATTCTTGTTTATTCTCTTACATTCATATGCCACCTTTCTTCCATCATAAAACCCAAGATTGTATTATAGTTCCATCCAGGCACTGACCAGATTTAGACCTGCTTAGCTTCAGAAAGGTATTTTAGTTATTTTATCTAGTGCCTAATTGTATCATTTTTGTAGCCTCATGTGCCTTCAGAACATACTCTGGGACCAGCCCAATAATAGACTTGAGGAAATTCAAGGATGCATTTGCTGGCAGTTGTTGTACAATGAGAACTGCCTGTCCTGAATTTCTCAGAACTGATCTCCAAGGAAATTCCTGGGTTGCCGAACCCCACTCCACCCAACCTTCTCACCAAATGAGGACACAGCAAGCTTGGAATTGGGAAGGTCACATTTACTAAAATCCATTCGTAAGGCACATATAACATCACTTGACAAACATTCCTTTTCCATATCCTTTTTATATGTAACAAAGTCCTGAGTTGATGAAGCATGGGTTTGTTCCCAGCTTCATAAAAATTCACATTGTGTTGGCACATTTTAGGGAATAATGACAAGAACTGTCTGATGAAATGGAATGAAATATGGGAATGACAAGAAGGAGAGGCAAAGGTGGTTCCTTGTACCAGAGTGTTTTGCATCAAAACACTGGCCTTGCTGGTTGAGGCTGATGAGAGTTTTTAAAAAACCCTCAAAGCAATTTACAAGATCATCTGCTATCATGACAAAAACCTAATTTCACCCTTTGTGCACCTTCCTTATTCCTTTGAAAGGAGCTGGGAGGTGTGAGCAGGGAATGGTATTCACAATAGGGATTAACAGATAGATTGGAGATATCAGGGCAGCAAAGATGGCTCACTTAATGAGTCTACCCGATGTGTGTTAAAGGACAATAAACGATCAGTTAATTAATTTGCCACCATATGCTTTAACCCCTTGGATTTTCAGCAAAAGACTAAAAGTGTCTGGATTCTGTCAAAACTATTAACTTCCTCGGGAAAATCATATTAGTAAACATGGGTAAGTCACACAGTCCCTCCCACCTGCCTTGTCATTCTATGACTCTATGATCTCCACTAGAGGGGCTTAGCACAGGCTCACCACAGACCACAATTAGGGCAGATCACTTAGCTTCACTTTTTCCTGATTGGGAGGAGAGCATTCCTTTTTGCTGAGTACCAGGTGACAACACACATTTCACCATCTTTCTCTGCAAAGATGAGCGGAGAAATGGGACAATTTAAAAATAAATAAAGTGTATCCTTGTGTGTCTCTAAATTTGAGTAGGATTTTAAACAGAACTGTTTTTAAATTCTAAATATAGGAGGCTTTAAAAAAATAATATGGCTTAAAAGGAAATCTAAATTTGAGTACATGAATGTGCCACAAAATCTCTTAAAAATAATCCCTCGAATAGTGAACTCAAGTGACAAGTGACAACAGAAGTGGAGTCGAAATAGCGTTGCTGAGAAACAAGGGGGTGATATCAGCATGCTTAGGAGAACCAGTGTTCGAATTTTCCCAGGTATATTTTGCTACTGACACACAACTACATGGAGATTTCTGGACGCCAGGCTGGCAGCCACAGTTTAAAAACCTCTGCCCTAGTCCACAGGTAATACCATTTCCATTTCCACAGTGTGCGTTTCTCCTTCTTGCATACTGGGTCAAGAGAACTGTTGTCAAGCAGTGTAGTTGAGATCATAGAATCCTAGAATTGTAGCAGTGGAAGGGACACTAAGGGTCATCTAGTCCAACCCCCTGGCAAATAGACATTTTGCTGTGGTGATCATAGCTTAGGTTTGAGATGCCATTTGGCGCCTAATTTTATGGCACCTAGTATATATATCTGAGTTTCTAACACTGAGGGGAACCATCGGGTTTTCAGAAGAGAAAATCTTAAAAATGTCAACACTGCTCCCCCACCCCCCAAAAAAACCCACAGTTAAATGAAGATGGAATATGTTCAACAGCCAATGAATGAACCTGCTGCCAGCATAGTCAGAGATGATAGAATTTGGGATCTAACATCAGGACCTCCAGAGGTTTCCTTGCCTCTTTGCTCTAAGCTGCTACAGTTCTGCAGTGCAAAAGGCAAAACACACATTCCCCAAGAAGTAATCTCTGTCAGGGGACACATGAAAGTGGACAGAGTGGCTATAGCCAGAAATGAGAAACCCCTTCTCTCTGAACTGTCTGAACTGATTGCTTGCAGAGGGCTTTTTTAAGTTAGTCCAAACGCCTTTTGAAATTGGAATGAGGGTTGTGGGCCTTTTAGGGATGGGGTGGGGGAAGTAGAAACTGTAGAGTATAGACAGAATATTGTGCTACCTGGGCACTGGAAGGAAAGCCTGGAATCCAGGAAATCTGACAACCGCACCAAGGGGCTCACCTTCAGAGCCACTTTCTACCCAGAATACAAAACAAAATGGCACCCCCTAGAGCGGAAGTAGCCAAAGTGGTGGACTACAACTCCCTGCAGACCTGACTACTGGCCTAGGGTAGCCAGGTGTCCTACATTACAGAGGGCTGTCCTCTTTTTGAGGACTGACCGGTCCAAGTCTGCTTTAAGATAAAGAACCATAAAAAGATAGATGGGTAGCTTTGAAGTTGTCGGTCCAGTGTCAGCAGCACCTGGCAGGAAGGTGAGCAGGCAGACTGACTGTCATCCCCACCATGATGTGTATTTTTATTTAAACTCTAGTAATTATTTCTAAATTTGCACCCATACATATAAATCACTATATGCAAACTGGTGTCCTCAGCACCGCATACCTGGCCCCTCTACCTGTTGGCTGGGCTGACGGGAGCTGTGGAGCACAACATCTGGAGAGCAACATGCCAGCTATTCCTGCCCTAAAGGATTCAGATTGCTACTCTTGTTTCATCTTACACCCAAATGACTCAAGATACTCACACTGGGCTGTGCCTATAACAGCCACCTCCTTCCCTGCCTGAACTGTGAAGTGCATAAATTTGGGGATTCAAAAGTGGACTTTTAAAAACCCCAAAAGGCCTGACAAGGACCTCTTGAGCTTCCACTCTTACCAGCTGGTTCTGAAAGGAATTTGGGCAGACTGAATGGGTCTAGCCATCTACTCTGTGATTCAGTCCGCCCACATGTCAATCACCCATTGTCACAATGAAGTCAGGTGATCCCATTCAGTATAGCAATGGGCCCAGAATCTCCAATTATCAGCTGATCATCGGGGTTCCCTAGCACAGTGCTGAGCAAGCGCCAACATTCATCGCAGCTTGCAAAGTGTTATACAGTGATACCTAGGTTCTCGAACGCCTTGGTACTCAAACAACTTGGAACCCAAACACTGCAAACCTGGAAGTTAAGTGTTCCAGTTTGCGAACTTTTTTCAGAAGCTGAAAGTGCTCTGTTTTGAGTGCCACACTTCCGTTTTGAGTGCCACGCTTCCGATTTGAGTGCCACGCTTCCGATTTGAGTGCTACGCTTCCGTTTTGAGTGTTACACTTCTGATTTCAGTGCCACGCTTCTGTTTTGAGTGTTACACTGAGGTCTGTCTGTTTTTCCTATTTATTTTGCGTTTTTGTTTTTGCTGTTCCTTTTGTTTTGTTTTTGTGACTGTGTGGAACCCGGTTCAGCTACTGATTGATTGATTGTGTGACTGCAGTACACTGCTTATTGCTTTCTTTTTACGGACCGATGGTCGCGTTAGATAGTAAAATTCATGTTAAATTGCTGTTTTAGGGGTTGTTTTTAAAAGTCTGGAACAGATTAATCCATTTTGCATTACTTTCTATGGAAGAGCGCACCTTGGTTTTGGAACGCCTTGGTTTTGGAACGGACTTCTGGAATGGATTAAGTTTGAGAACCAAGGTGCCACTGCACAGCTGCTGCCTCCAGTCAAGTGACAGGCAGCCCCTGCATGGCCCAGCTGCATCTTTACCTGCCCCAAGCCTGACAGCAGGTGCATGGAAGGTGGCTGTGGCTTGGCCAAAAGAGCAGGGCGAGCCAAATGGGGAGGTGTTAGGATATATGCTGAAAACTGTCCCCTGCCCCACCCCAAAGGCCTGAACAACAGAACCAGGTGCCCCTCTTGCCTTCCCAGGTTACACAGCAGCTCTGACTATGAGAGCCCTGCTATGGTTGCAGGCTATTCTTGCCTTTGCACAGTGTCCTGATTGGGGCGTAGTGAGTGCTTGGGAAAATACATGGTATGGCTTTGTCTGTAGGAGTCCCTTGGCAATAGGGAGGTGGATTTCTGGTGCCTTGAAAGGGGTCTTGCCTTCTGCCTTCCCTTGTGGCCTTATCGCCCTTCCAGATCATTCACAAGATGTGGGTTTTTGGCCTTCAGTGCCTCATACAGCTTATTCTTGCACCGGAGGTCCCAGCTTGGCACAAGCCTGTAGAGCTCTCGCATCTTGTCTGGGTTAGTTTCCTTGGCAGTGATTTTTTGGTATTGCTCATCACTGAGGACGGAGCCAAACAATTTATCCAGCACTGGTTCCACTGGGGTGGTCCGTTGGATTAGCGCCTCCCTGTGCCGCTCAATGAAGTGCACGTTGGAAGAGTTTCGAAGCTGCGGCCCTGCCAGGAAAGAGAAAAAGAACAGAAATCTTACTACACTTTCACACTTCGGGCTTAAAACTGGTTACCCAACTCATTCCCTCCTCCCCCATGCCCTGGGAATTGTAGTTCCATGAGGGGAGGGATTGCTAACAGAGCATTCCTACTAGCTCATCTGCCTACAGTTCCCAGAATTCTTTGGGTAAAGTTGTAACTGTTTTGAGAACTGCTTAAAAGCCAGTTTAGGCCTTAAGCAGTATATCAACCAATAAATAATGACAGCAACTTGACCAGCCTTGACTACACTATGACTTGAGAGGCATTGGTGCAAGGCACAGGGGACTAAACTGCAAATATCAGAGAGACAAAAGAAAAAAAATGCATTTGTAAAGGTGCAAAACAAGCAAATGTGATCACAGAAGGAAAAGCATGGGGTATCAGAAGCTCTCTAAAAGGCTCCATATTGCAGCCAAGGCATGCATAATTCCAACTGTGGGAATCAGAGAAGCCAGCAAAAGAGAGAAATTTGTATATAGCAAAGGTTCTTCCAACCATCCTATTTTTGACCTTAAATTTGTGGAATTGGGTGGCTGGGAGAGGCTTTCGGAGCCAACATGCAGTAACTTCAGGTTCACAACATCTTGTGGCCTAAAAAGGGACCCCTGACCGTTAGGTCCAGTCGCGGACGACTCTGGGATTGCGGCACTCATCTCACTTTACTGGCCAAGGGAGCCGGCATACAGCTTCCAGGTCATGTGGCCAGCATGACTAAGCCGCTTCTGGCAAACCAGAGCAGCACATGGAAACGCTGTTTACCTTCCCTCTGGAGTGGTAACTATTTATCTACTTGCACTTTGTGCTTTTGAACTGCTAGGTTGGCAGGACCTGGGACCGAGCAATGGGAGCTCACCCCGACGTGGGAATTCGAACTACATCCCTTCTTGTGGCCTATTAGATCTTAAAACATTACAGTTAAATCAAGCTGTTGATGTAAACCTATTTTAAAGTTCAAGTAAACAGAAAACAAAATAATATTCTGTAGGGATTTTTTTATTGTCTTTTATTGTTGGCCACTGTTATCAACGGCCAGCTATTTCTCAGAGCGGATTTAAAGTTGTTTGAGCCTCATTTAACCAGGACTGGCAAACACCAAAACTGATGGAAGATGTGTTGGTTTCTGTTGTCGGTAACGTAGGGTCGGGAGGAATTGTAGAGCTATAAGTCCTGTCCATGATGATCCAAGCAAGTACACAGGGACAAAGTTCAACCTGTATTTTTCAGAGCTGCAAATCAGCAGTCTGGTTATTTATTTTATTGCTGCTGCCACCTGGTGACCCTGTCCGCTTCAAGAGTACACCTTTCTCAAAGAGGACATAAACAACCCTCCAACCACGGCATAACTAGATGTGAAATTTAAACATGGCACTTCCTCTGGGGTCTTTTGCACTTTTAATTCCTAATACAGAGCACAGAGGCGAGGAGAATCTTTTGGGAAGGGGTGCAAAGGGGCATAAAATCCTGGGTGAAAATTCAGACTCCCTTAAAGAAAAAGATCCTAAATAGCTTTCCATTTAAAAATGTTTTAAAGAAGTGAAGCTGAGCACATTTTCTCCATCCTTTCTCTAACTATGCATGTTTTTTTCATGTTGTCAGAATTATTCCATGGAACTGTTGCCTTATTTCTTTGTGACTCTGAGGTGCTTGTGCCCCGCCCTGTGCCAACAAATATAAACTGGAAAAGTTCAATCCATATTTTTCAGAGCTGCCTATCAGCAGTTTGGTTATTCGTTTTATTGCTGCTGAAACCTCTCTGGCATGAGCTGAGAGGCAACCTTGCATTTCTAAAGCAAATGGGAAATGAAATAAAGGCTTTAAGCTTGAAATGTCTCGCGGTGCGAAATTGCTCACTTAAACCTGAGCAAGTCCGGGAGTTCGTTGCAGTACAAAGTTTAGCCCTCATGGGGCAGAATGTAAGCAAAGAATGAGTTAAAAGAAGAACAAGGCAGTTTCTAAAGCCCATAGATGGAAAGGGCGTTATGAAATACACGAAAGCGAAAACAACTGAACGGAGGCATTTCCAGGAAAGCAGGAAAAAAAAGCCCCGAATGCATAGTTTTTTTAAAGTCAAGCTTGTGCATGACAGTCTTTGCTTGCAAAAGACGTTATTTATTTATTATTTTCTATCTTATGTTCTCTGTAATGTAATTCTCAACTACAGTACTTCAACGCAAATAAAACTGTTCTGCAGATGAGCGATCAGAGAGTTACTATTTCATTTTGAAATCCTCCCTCATCGCAGTTTATTCTCCTTCATGTAGTTACAAAGCTAGATGGAGAGAAGCGAAAAGGGCAAGTTACGTGCGAGACGAGGCTTTTCAGTGGAAGTGCCCACTCCCCAATTTTGCTAAGTGAGTGCCGACGAACCTCAACCAGCTTTACTCTACCGCCTCTTCCCACCTCCGGAGGATCTCCTCTGGCTGCAGCAGCAGCAGCTGCAAAGCCGCCGAACTCGGGACCAGGCGAAAGTTTCGCTCCCCTCCAGACCCACCTTGGCGATCCTTAGGATCGGGCGCCGCTCTCCCTCCCCAGCCGCTCCTTACTGTTCCCAGTGGCGGCCAGGAGCTCCTCGGCGCGGTCCTTGCAGTTGATGGCTTCCAGCACCTCGGCGGTCAGCTGCACGGCGTACTCCTCGGTGTAGAAGCTGACCAGCAGGTCTTTGAGGTCCAGCGCATCCGCCTTCTGCATCCGCCCTCGGGGGATGTTGTTGTAGCCCCGGCGCACGGGGAACTCGTTCAGCTTGGCCTTGAACCTCCTCAGCTCGCCCTCCTCCAAGTTCTCCAGGCAATCCAGCAGGCAGTCCCGCGCGCTCCTCGCCATGGCGCGCCTTCAGAGCCAGCAAGAAATCAACCTCGCTTCGCGGAAGCTGCAAGATTGAAAGCAGGCGTCGTGCCTGATACAAAGCCCGGGCTGGGTTGGCCGCGGGGGGGGGGGATGCTGGACTCCGATTGGTGCAGCGGGAGGAGAGAGGCGTGGCCTGAGTGAAAGCCACAATGGGGACGGAAACGCGCCCATGCGCCCTCCCGCGCTTTTCTGTCTCTTTTCTCAGCGCGCTGGGCGGAGACGGACTTTCCCATTACTTTCCCATTACAGTGGTACCTCTGGTTACAGACGCTTCAGGTTACAGACTCCGCTAACCCAGAAATAGTATCTCGGGTTAAGAATTTTGCTTTAGGATGAGAACAGAAATCGCGCTGCGGCAGCGGGAGGCCCCATTAGCTAAAGTGGTGCTTCAGGTTAAGAACAGTTTCAGGTTAAGAACGGACCTCCGGAGCGAATTAAGTACTTAACCCGAGGTACCACTGTATAAGCATTTGCACGAGAGCGCTTGCAAAAGGCGCCCAGGCGCCAAGTTGTTGCAGGCATAACCTCCAACATTTCTCTGATGAAAATAGGGGAATAACAACAGCAACATTATTTATACCCCGTCCAACTGACTGGGTTGCCCCAGCCACTCTGAGCGGCTTCCAGCATATATAAAATAACATAATAAAACAAACTTTAAAAAACCCCTTCCCTATGCAAGGCTGCCTTTAGATTCCCTAGTTGCTTCTATCTGCTTGGCAAGGGGGTGGCAAAACTCCATACCTTCCAATATTTCTCCGATGAAAATAGGAACATCCTAAGGAAAAGTGGGACATTCCAGAATCAAATCAGTAACCTGTAAATCCGGGACTGTCCTTTAAATAGGGACAGTTGGCGGGTCTGCAGCACACGGCTCTTGCAGGAGCGAAATTCTGAAGAGATAGGGCTGGGGGCACTTGTGGGGACGGCAGTGGAGAAGCTGCACGCTCCGACACCGGGGTGGGTGGGGCAGAGAGCAGGCGGGGGTGCGGTGTGCGTGTCCGGGGGGGGGTGACGCGCATCCCGGTGGCGTGGCATGCCGCCCGCAGGGGTGCGGCGCACGTCCTGGGGTTGTGGCACGCCACCTGCGAGGGCATGGCGAGCATCCCGGGGGCATGGGGCGTCGCCTGCAGGGGCGAGGACCGCAGCCCGTGGGGGCCTGGCAGGCAGCATGGGGGTGCACGGCATGTGTCCGGGGGTGGCCGCGATGGTAACAACCTCTCCGATGGTGCCGGGAGCGGTACACTCCCCCGCCCCCCTTCCTCTGCCAGTGAGGGGCGGAGCAAGTTTGTAAGAAATAAAGAGGAAAGCCATGCGAACAGCCAGGCCACGGTCTGTTCTTGTAAACATCCCAGGAACTCAGGTGTACAGGAAGTCAGATGCACTGGTTTGTTCTTGTAAACCTCGAAAGAAGTCGTCCGTTTTCTATAAACCTAAGGCATGATACGTCACATATTTCGCTCGAGTTTTCTGATAGACTGATGGGGCAAACCTCTTGCCAGCCGCTTAGTTTTTTTCCTCCCATGTCAGAGGCTTTCGACGCACGACAGGCAGTCATTCAACATGTGCAAGCTTTACGCACACACACTTGTTGTTGTTTAGTCGTTTAGTCGTGTCTGACTCTTAGTGACCCCATGGACCAGAGTACGCCAGGCACTCCTGTCTTCCACTGCCTCCCGCAGTTTGGTCAGACTCATGTTTGTAGCTTCAAGAACACTATCCAACCATTTCGTCCTCTGCCATCCCCTTCTCCTTGTGCCCTCCATCTTTCCCAACATCAGGGCCTTTTCCAGGGAGTCTTCTCTTCTCATGAGGTGGCCAAAGTATTGGAGCCTCAGCTTCAGGATCTGTCCTTCCAGTGAGCACTCAGGGCTGATTTCCTTAAAAATGGATGCATTTGATCTTCTTGCAGTCCATGGGACTCTCAAGAGTCTTCTCCAGCACCATAATTCAAAAGCATCAATTCTTCGGCGATCAGCCTTCTTTATGGTCCAGCTCTCACTTCCAGATGCAACCAAACGCTCTTCCGCGGGTGAGCCAGCAAGGGAGTGACTCCCTGTGCAAGAGGAACCATTAGCAGTGCCATAAGCATCCTCATAGTTATCAATTTGCACTCCTAGAATAGAAAGGTTGTATATACAGTGGTACCTCGAGTTATGAACAGCCCAGTTAACGAACTTTTTGGATTATAAACACTTCAAACCTGGAACTGCTTGTGAACTTCTTTTGGTATACAAACCAGGCCTCAGTAGGCTGTGCCACTGCCCGGAGCTAGGCCCTGGCGCCTGCGTGGCCTCCATTTGGCCTCCGCTGCCAGGCTCCGGCCGCAGGAGGCCCAGCACTCTGGCGAGGAACACTTACCTAACCAAGACCAAGAGCAAAGTCCAGCAGTGAACCTAGTAAGTGAGCCTGGGATGAAAAGCATCAGCCCTTTACCAGCCCTCGCCTCACCCCCAGCTGTTGGGTGGCAAGTTGGGTGGCACCGGGCCAGGTAAGGCCACCCATCCTGTGGGAGGGGGTGAGTGGGAAATTTTGGGATTCTGTCTTGTTTCTTTGTTTATGTGAGTCTGCAAGGGACGGAATGGCAGGAGAGGAGTCACCGGTTGTGAATCTGGAAGAGGACTCCGACCCCCCATTCAAATAATGACTATCATCAGTGCAGGTAAGAAAAAAAAATCACGTTTTCATTTTTTAAAAAATCATTAATACTGTTTTATTGATTTTACAGTACAGTACATTGTTTATTGCTTTCATTTTACGGATCAATGGCCTCGTTAGATAGTAAAATTCATGTTAAATTGCTGTTTTAAGGGTTGTTTTTCATCATCTGGAACGGATTAATCCATTTTCCATTACTTTCTATGGGAAAGTATGCTTTGGTTTAAGAACGCTTTGGTTTAAGAACGGACCTCCAGAACGGATTAAGTTCGTAAACCGAGGTACCACTGTACTGCTGTTTTGGCTAAGCTTACACATCTGCAGAAGGTTTTGTGAGGCTAAACCAGTGGACTTTGCTGCCATCTGGTGGCTTTTCATAACACCTATGAACAAGCTACACTTGAAACTACGATGAAGCATGACTTTATTTGGCAATATTTATAAAAACAAGTACAGATGCAAAGAAACTTTGGTTTACTTCCAGTTCCTTCCTCTCTGGGGCTTCATTCTTGGATACTCTTTCCTTCCTTTGATGTTCTTTGTGTCTTGCCTCCTATACTTACGTCAAACCTTGCCTCTCTTTGCACCCCAGTGCACAGCTGTCAACTTACAGATTTGAAAATAAGGGACCAGCAGCCAAAATAAGGGACCTGCAGCCTCACCTGTTCCAGGCACTCCAGTCTTCCTGTCTTCCTGCAGTCTGGTCAAACTCATGCTGGTAGCTTCGAGAACACTGTCCAACCAACTTTGTAACCAGAGGTTCAACTGAATAGAATCTGAATCACATGCACCACAAGGCCTATGCAGCCTCAACTTAAGATGGCTCCCCGGCCTGGCTTTGCACTGCAAAGTTTGCAGCAGCACATGCAACAAAATGGCATCCAGCATTCAAAAACCTCCTCAGCTTGCATTAACTAGCCACACACAAGGCATACAAGCTCCACCTCCCAGTCATTCTTAGACTTCTTATTGGGTGAGCAACACAGCCAAGCAACACAGTTGGAGCCTCCCTCCTCCCTGGCCGGCAGGGAGGGAGGGAGGGAGGGAGGGAGGGAGGGAGGGAAGGAGAGGAGCTGCTTCCTTTGAAATTTAAGGGACATCATTTAAGGGACATCCATCAATAAGGGACAGCAGCGGGACATGGCGGTGGAATAAGGGACTGTCCCTTCAAATAAGGGACACTTGACAGCTATGCCCCAGTGCTTTGTTTACAGTTTGCTTTTTATGTAACTGACACGCATTCTGCTTTTGTTATTCTTCCAATTTGAACGAAAAGCAAATTTAAAAATCTGGTGGAATGGAGAGAACAGGTGGGGCATGGTCATTTCTGGATACAAATTCTGTACAAAGGATGGTTCGGCAGGTGGTGGTGTGTCGGGCTAGGCAGCCTCGTTGCGATTGGGGATCTTCCCGCTCGATGTGGTGCAATGGTAAGATAACACCATTAAACAAGAACCACCAAAACATTAAATTAACTTTCCAAAAATTAACTGTGATTTTAAGTAGACTTCCCTCATTTTTTTCTTGGTTAGTTTCCCTTGAAGAGATTTTTTGGTACTGTTCTTCATCCAGGATTGGGCCGTTCAACATATCCAGGACTGCTGCAACAGGTTACAGACTCCGCTAACCCAGAAATAGTACCTTGGCTTAAGAACTTTGCTTCAGGATGAGAACAGAAATCGTGCAGCGGCGGTGCGGCAGCAGCAGGAGGCCCTATTAGCTAAAGTGGTGCTTCATGTTAAGAACAGTTTCAGATTAAGTACGGACCTCTGGAATGAATTAAGTACTTAATCTGAGGTACCACTGTATAGATAATACTGAGTATGAGCTAGACCAATGGTCTTATTCAGTGTAAGGCAGCTTCCTATGTGGATAGCTCAGTTAGTTAGAGCGTGGTGCTGATGACACAAAGATTGCAGGTTTGCTCCCTGTATGGGAGAGCTGTATATTCCTCCATTGCAGGGGGTTGGCCTAGATCAGGGGTCCTCAAATTACGGTCTGCAGGCCATATCCGGCCTGCCAGGGCCCTGAACCCAGTCTGCCCGGCAATTGCCGCTACCACCCGGTGTCTTCGGACGCAAGAGGCAGGGAGGCAGGCTCCCCCCAGGCCCGGGGCAAACCCCCGCTGCTGCTGCTGCCTTGCGGCCGGACTGGCAATCCCTCTGCCCGCCCGCCTGCTCTCTCTTGCTGCCACATGTTCACTCTCGCCTCAAAGGCCTTGGCTGGCTCCACTACAAACGCCGCCCCTACTCATGAGGCCTTTGAGGCCTAGTCGCCTCCCCTTGCCGGGAATGGGCGAGCCCTGCGCTTGCGGGCCGAGGGAACACGTTCGGCTCCTGCTGGCCTCCACTCGATGCCCCACGGCCTTGGCGCTCACGCAGGTCGTGTTTAAAAGGTTTGAGGACTCCTGGCGTGGATGATCCCCTTCCAACTCTATGATGGTTTACTCAGAAATAAGTCCCCAAAATAAGCAGGGCTTTCTTCCTAGTAAAAAAGGTAAAGGTAAAGGACCCCTGGACTGTTAAGTCCAGTCAAAGGTGACTATGAGGTTGCAGCGCTCATCTCACTTTCAGGCCGAGGGAGCCAGTGTTTGTCCGCAGACAGCTTTTCAGGTCATGTGGCCAGCATGACTAAGCCGCTTCTGGCACAGCGGAACACCGTGATGGAAACCAGAGCACACGGAAATGGTGTTTGCCTTCCAGCCTCAGCAGTACTATTTATCTACTTGCACTGGCGTGCTTTCAAACTGCTAGTAAATGTGTTGAGGATAGTGGCCAAAGTTAGCAGCATAACAAGACTCGCTTTTGAGTATAAATGCATGAAATTGTATTGTTAGTTTTATTCTTGTTTATTCTCTTACATTCATATGCCACCTTTCTTCCATCATAAAACCCAAGATTGTATTATAGTTCCATCCAGGCACTGAACAGATTTAGACCAGCTTAGCTTCAGCAAGGTATCTTAGTTATTTTATATAGTGCATAATTGTATCATTTTTGTAGCCCCATGTGCCTTCAGAACATACTCTGGGACCAGCCCAATAATAGACTTGAGGAAATTCAAGGATGCATTTGCTGGCAGTTGTTGCACAATGAGAACTGCCTGTCCTGAATTTCTAAGAACTGATCTCCAGGGACATTCCTGGGTTGCTGAACCCCACTCCACCCAACCTTCTCACCAAATAAGGACACAGCAGGCTTGGAATTGGGAAGGTCACATTTACTAAAATCCATTTGTAAGGCACATATAACACCACTTCACAAACATTTCTTTTCCATATCCTTTTTATATGTAACAAAGTCCTAAGTTGATGAAGCATGGTTTCCCTCCAGTTTCATAAAAATTCACATTGCGTTGGCACATCTTAGGAAATATTGACAAGAACACTCTGATAAAATGGAATGACAAATAGGAATGACAAAAAGGAGAGGCAAAAGTGGTTCCTTGTACCAGAGTGATTTGCATCAAAAGCTGTGTATTCAAAACTTTATTTTAGTTCATAAAACGTCTTGTTATTCTGCCCTAGAATTCCCATCACCCCCGATCACTGGCATTGCTGGCTGGGGCTGAGGGGAGTTTTGAAAAACCCTCAAAACAATTTACAAGATCATCTGCTGTCATGACAAAAAACTATATTCCTTTGAAAGGAGCTGGGAGGTGTGAGCAGGGAATGGTATTCACAACAGGGATTAACAGATTGGAGATATCAGGGCAGCAAAGATGGCTCACTTAGTGAGTCTACCTGATGTGTGTTAAAGGACAATAAACGATAAGTTAATTAATTTGCCACTATATGCTTTAACCGCTTGGATTTTCTGCAAAAGTCACTAAAAGTGTGTGGATTCTGTCAAAACCATAACTTCCTCAGCAAAAATCATATTAGCAAACATGGGTAAGTCACACAGTCCCTCCCACCTGCCTTGTCATTCTATGACTCTATGACCTCCACTAGAGGGGCTTAGCACAGGCTCACCACAGACCACAATTAGGGCAGATCACTTAGCATCAATTTTTCCTGATTGGGAGGAGAGCATATCTTTTTGCTGAGTACCAGGTGACAACACACATTTCACCATCTTTCTCTGCAACGATGAGCAGGGTGAAGAAATGGGACAATTTAAAAGAAATGGGACAATTTAAAAATAAATGAAGTGTGTGTTTCTGTGTCTCTAAATTTGAATCAGATTTTAAATGAAATTATTTTTAAATTAACAAGTAACAACAGAAGTGGAGTAAAAATAGCATTGCTGAGAAACAAGGGGGGTGATATCACCATGCTTAGGGGAACGAGTGTTCAAATTTCCCCAGGCGCCGGCAGGGACTGGCAAATGAAGTTGATGGAATAGGCAGAGATGGATAAGCTGACAGGGCAGTTAGGAGACCAAGAGTACCAAAAATTAACAACAATTGAGTAACAACAATTGGAGTAAATACAAAAAATATTTGACAGATCACTGCAGAGATTTAAAATTTTTGACTGGACTAGACCAATTCTGTAAAGACTAGTGGAAACAGTGGAAACTATGGTAAACAGATGATATAATTGGGAATGCGTATAAAGTAGAAAACTAAGTATCCAAGTCTGGGGTGGAGGGAAGCTAAATGCTGATAGAGTAACAACAGAATAAGTAGACAAACAACACAATTTTCTCTCCCCCCTCCTTTTTATTTAAGTACACATGTTGAATGTTTTGAGATTTCATTTGCTTGTTGTGGATGTTGACATGTATGAGAAAGAGAATTTATGAAAAACCAATAAAGATGAATTTTAAAAGAAGAAGAAAAAAAGATATCCTAGAATCCTAGAACTGTAGTTGGAAGGGACCCCGGGGCCTTATGTTGTTACTGCAATAACAATAAAACAGCGACAGCAACAATTGTGCAGCAGGTCTGTTTAGCAGTAACTGCTTGGTGATAGGTTAAAAATCTTACATAGGAAACTGTGAGACCTAGGCAATTTCCTGCCATTTTCTTGTAGTTTCCTGGTTCAGTTACAAAGCGAGATGGAGAGAGAAGCGTAAATAGCAGTTATGCAGCAAGACGAAGCTTTCAGTGGAAGAGCCCACTCCCCAATTTTGCTAAGACCCCCGCTCCCCCAAAATGTAGAAAAGCGCTGATGAAACTCAACCAGCTTTATTCTACCGCCTCTTTCAACCAGCGGCTTATGTCATCTGGCTGCAAACCCCCCGAACTCGGGGCAAGGCAAAAGTTTCCCACCTTCGCGATCCTTAGCATCCGCCACCGTCAGGGCGAGATGAGACAAGCGCTGGTTGAGGGTGGCAACCGACAGAAGAGGGAGGCGCGCAATCGGCCTCCCGGCGGAGCAGCTCCACTCCCAGCCCCGCTTCCTGCTTTGCGGGTGCGGCCAGCAGCTCCCGGTACTCGGGCTGGTTCTGCGCCTGCAGCTGCTGGTTATTGTGGACCAGAGACCCGGACGCCTCGTCCCGCCGCTGTTTCCACGCAGCCATGTCGCCCAGAAACTCCCAGCATCCTTTCTGGGCTGCGAGCGATCCTCGGGTGGCTGCGCGTCCTCTGTGGGCTGCGCGCGGACCTCTGGGGGCTGCACATCCTCTCTGGGCTTCGCGCCCTCCAGACCCATCTTCGCGATTCTTAGCATCCGCCGCCGCCAGGGCGAGATGAGATAAGCCGCTGGTTGAGGGTTGCGAGGAAGTCAACGGCCAGGGCGCAGGCCAGGGGGGCGCGCAATCGGCCTCCTGGCGGAGCAGCTCCACTCCCAGCCCCGCTTCCTGCTTTGCGGGTGCGGCCAGCAGCTCCCGGTACTCGGGCTGGTTCTGCGCTTGCAGCTGCTGGTTATTGTGGACCAGAGACCCGGACGCCTCGTCCCGCCGCTGTTTCCACGCAGCCATGTCGCCCAGAAACTCCCAGCATCCTTTCTGGGCTGCGAGCGATCCTCGGGTGGCTGCGCGTCCTCTGGGGGCTGCGAGCGATCCTCGGGTGGCTGCGCGTCCTCTCTGGGCTGCGAGCGATCCTCGGGTGGCTGCGCGTCCTCTCTGGGCTGCGAGCGATCCTCGGGTGGCTGCGCGTCCTCTGTGGGCTGCGCGCGGACCTCTGGGGGCTGCACATCCTCTCTGGGCTTCGCGCCCTCCAGACCCATCTTCGCGATTCTTAGCATCCGCCGCCGCCAGGGCGAGATGAGATAAGCCGCTGGTTGAGGGTTGCGAGGAAGTCAACGGCCAGGGCGCAGGCCAGGGGGGCGCGCAATCGGCCTCCTGGCGGAGCAGCTCCACTCCCAGCACCGCTTCCTGCTTTTCGGATGCGGCCAGCACCTCCCGGTACTCGGGCTGATTCGCGGCCCCGTCGCCCAGATGCTCCCATGATACTCTCTGGGCTGCGCGCGATCCTCGGGTGGCTGCGCGTCCTCTCTGGGCTGCTAGCGATCCTCGGGTGGCTGCGCGTCCTCTCTGGGCTGCGCGTCCTCTCTGGGCTGCGAGCGATCCTCGGGTGGCTGCGCGTCCTCTGTGGGCTGCGCGCAATCCTCGCGTGGCTGCGCGTCCTCTCTGGGCTGCGCGCGGACCTCTGGGGGCTGCACATCCTCTCTGGGCTTCGCGCCCTCCAGACCCATCTTCGCGATTCTTAGCATCCGCCGCCGCCAGGGCGAGATGAGATAAGCCGCTGGTTGAGGGTTGCGAGGAAGTCAACGGCCAGGGCGCAGGCCAGGGGGGCGCGCAATCGGCCTCCTGGCGGAGCAGCTCCACTCCCAGCACCGCTTCCTGCTTTTCGGATGCGGCCAGCACCTCCCGGTACTCGGGCTGATTCGCGGCCCCGTCGCCCAGATGCTCCCATAATCCTCTGTGGGCTGCGAACGATCCTGGGGGGGCTGCGCGCGATCCTCGGGTGGCTGCGCGTCCTCTCTGGGCTGCTAGCGATCCTCGGGTGGCTGCGCGTCCTCCCTGGGCTGCGCGTCCTCTGTGGGCTGCGAGCGATCCTCGGTAGGCTGCGCGTCCTCTGTGGGCTGCGAGCGATCCTCGGGTGGCTGCGCGTCCTCTCTGGGCTGCGAGCGATCCTCGGGTGGCTGCGCGTCCTCTCTGGGCTGCGAGCGATCCTCGGGTGGCTGCGCGTCCTCTGTGGGCTGCGCGCGGACCTCTGGGGGCTGCACATCCTCTCTGGGCTTCGCGCCCTCCAGACCCATCTTCGCGATTCTTAGCATCCGCCGCCGCCAGGGCGAGATGAGATAAGCCGCTGGTTGAGGGTTGCGAGGAAGTCAACGGCCAGGGCGCAGGCCAGGGGCGCGCGCAATCGGCCTCCTGGCGGAGCAGCTCCACTCCCAGCACCGCTTCCTGCTCTGCGGATGCGGCCAGCACCTCCCGGTACTCGGGCTGATTCGCGGCCCCGTCGCCCAGATGCTCCCATAATCCTCTCTGGGCTGCGAACGATCCTGGGGGGCTGCGCGCGATCCTCGGGTGGCTGCGCGTCCTCTCTGGGCTGCGAGCGATCCTCGGGTGGCTGCGCGTCCTCTCTGGGCTGCGCGTCCTCTACCGGCTGGCTGCGCCCGCGGCACCTTCTTCCCCTGGCCTTTGCAAGGCATCCTGAACCCTGGAGGAGGAAGAACAAGAAGGGCGCTGGAGGCTGGCCATGAGCGGAGCAGCTGTGCCGCGGAACCGACTGACCCAGGGCCCTCAGGGGAGCGGAGGAAGATCCGCCTACGGCTGCCCCGAACCGGGTGGCATTGGCCACTCAGAGGAAGCTGCCGGCAACGCCCTTTTAAAAGCAGATGAAACGAAAGTTGGCCGCGCTCTTAATGGGCTTTGGGGGTGGGGTGGAGGAGGGCTGTGCCGGGCTCAGGGAGTCGAAAGGGAGCGGGCACCAGGCAGGAAGGGCCTCTACCTGCTGGCTGCGCTGGAGGGTCCTTTGCAGCGCCCATAAACCTTTTATTAAGAAATAATATTTTAAATATTGGATTGTCTGGGAAGGAATTCATTACAAGGTGAAGTGCCTGAGGAATTGAATGGGTGGAGGGTAGAGGGGTTGGAGGAGAGGCGGAAAAAGGCGCTAATTTCTCCGTGGCTAGGGGACGCAGTTTTGGACGCATCTACCAGGGGCGCAAGATCCCTTAGCTACGGCCCTGGCCGCTGCGCTCCCTCCCCAGCCGCTCCTTACTGTTCCCGGTGGCGATCAGGAGCTCCTCGGCGCGGTCCTTGCAGTTGATGGCTTTCAGCACCTTGGCGGTCAGCTGCACGGCGTACTTCTCGGTGTAGAAGCTGACCATCATGTTCGTCAGGTCCAGCGTCTCCGCCTTCTGCAACTTCCCTCGGGGGATGTTCGCGTTACCCCTGCGCACGGGGACCTCGTTCAGCTTGGCCTTGAACCTCCTCAACTCGCCCTCACTCAAGTTCTCCAGGCACGTCAGCAGGCAGTCCCGCGCGCTCCTCGCCATGGCGCACCTTCAAGTGTCTGCAAGAAATGAAACTTGCTTCGCGGAAACTGCAAAATTGAAAGCAGGCATGGTGCCTGGGGTGGGGTGGGGGATGGAGATGTAGGACTCGGATTGGTGCAGCGGGAGGAGAGATGCGTGGCCTGAGTGAAAGCTCCAAAAGGTGCCGGAAACGCTCCCCCGTGGCTCCGGCGCTTTTCTCTGTCTGTTTACTTAGCAAGCTGGGCAGAGACGGTTTCTCCCATTATGAACATTTGCTTACAAAAGGCGCTTAGACAGTAGTGGAGCAAGGCAAGTGTAGCTGTAGGGCGGCAGGCAGCCTCCTCGAGGCCCCGCGATCTCCCCCCGCCAAAAAAAGCTCAATAACTCTAGCTCCCCCAAAATCTGGCTCCCCCAAAACGCATGCGCGACGAAACTCGGAAGTATACACTTCTGGGTTTGCCACGTTTGCAAGCCGAAAAGACGCAACATGAACCTAATGCAACAGGAGGTATAACTGTACTGTACATTGAACCTGCACTGCTGACCCCGTAGCATTTTTTTTTTTTTTTGCATTTCATTAAGGATTAAGAAAGCATACAGCAAAGAAACAAAAATAACTTTTTCCAACACTGGAGTGCCACAGATTGTATACAAACAAAACACACATTCACATAATGTCAGTCCTGAATCAAGAGCATTACAGTTTTACATTCTAAATTTTGTACCAGCTATTAATAAACGTAGGGGATGCGGGTGGCACTGTGGTTAAAAGCCTCAGTGCCTAGGGCTTGCAGATCGAAAGGTCGGTGGTTCGAATCCCCGTGGCGGGGTGCGCTCCCGCTGCTCGGTCCCAGCGCCTGCCAATCTAGCAGTTCCAAAGCACCTCCGAGTGCAAGTAGATAAATAGGGACCGCTTACTGGCGGGAAGGTAAACGGCATTCCGTGTGCTGCGCTGGCTCGCCAGATGCAGCTTTGTCAAGCTAGCCACATGACCCGGAAGTGTCTCTGGACAGCGCTGGCCCCCGGCCTCTTGAGTGAGATGGGCGCACAACCCTAGAGTCTGTCAAGACTGGCCCATACGGGCAGGGGTACCTTTATTAATAAACGTATCTGCAAATTGCTGCCTGATGCACATAAAATAAAGTTCCACAAGGTGGCAAAAAAGGTCTGTGGTTTTCTTTACCCTGCAAAAGTGTCCTGGAAGTTCACTCCATTGTCTCTCGAGGCAAATTTTCTCTGAAATTGTAATGGTCCAAATATTCCTGAACCTAGCAGGCAGATCTAGATTTCCCAGACTTCTCCACTTACAAACTACTGTCTGTCTTGTAACAATGAATAAGAAAGTTAGCAGTTCTTTAAATTTAATATTAGAATTTGGTCTTACAAATAACGACAATAAAAATAGCTTAGATGCAAGAGCAATGCAGTTTTAACCAGTTTGTTATGAACATTAGCTCAGAATGGCTTAAAAAATGTGCATTCCCACTAAAGCTGGTAGTGTGTACATTTACTATTGCAGCCCCAACAACAGTTTGCACTAACTTTAGATGACAAATGAGAAAATTGAGCCAGTGTTCTATCGCAGCAGTTAAATGCCTTAGGAGACGTTTCCATAATATTTCCCAATACTGTTTTAACTCCTTTTTTGGACCGTCATTTATAGCATCTTTCTTCATCAATCACTGCTTGCAAGCCAGTTTTCCATACTTTCTTTAAACCTACTAACAGCCTGCTTTGTTTGTCAAGGAAGTTTGTGATACTATCTCACTTTCTCCCTCAAACCAGCATTCAGCATAGCTTGTTCAAACCTTGTTAAATTCCTGTTGGCATGGGATTCTCTCATGGCAATTCCCAGTGTCCTTTAACAATAAATCCCACTTCCCGGGGACTTCCGGTGCAGCCCGATCTCGTCGCAAGCGGGGATTTTACCGTGAGGTAAATCCCGGGCTATTTTGGAGGATTAGGGGTGCTACAGGGCGCGGTAGCCCCCAAAAATACCTCTGGTGGGTGTCCAGAAGGTCAGGTTCCCGGCGGGACCAGAAGCGGTCAGCCCGGCCGTCAGGTAGCTTCACAAGAAGTGAAGAGAACGGCGGAGCGGATCCGCGGGTCGAGGGAAGCCATTATCCACCTCCGAATAGCGAAGCTCCGAGCTTGCTGAGAAAGCGCTACGCTCTCAAATTAAAGGACTCCGGCTTTAAATTATTTGAAAACTTGAAGATTTAACAACAAGGAAGTCACGGAGAAATAAGAAGTTTGCGGAGTTCAGCCGAAAACCGAAATCAACTTTGACGCAGCGCTACTTGCAGAGCTGGGAAAGTGAAAGTGAGTTGCCTTAGCAGCTACTGTTTTTTCTCCTCTATGAACTCTTCTAAAAAGTAACTTTTTAGGAGGATACAATATATCAAAGATACTATCAAAGATAAGGGAGAACAGAAGAGTAACTTTTGCAATTTAAAGTCCTTGGTGTAACGGAGGGCATAAATATAAGGAGGAAGCGCTTCTCCACTTTCGTTTTCAAAGAACAAAGGACAGTGAAACGGAAGAGAAGGCTTTGACGCAATTAAGAACTTTTAAGTACAGCGAGCAGACGAAATATTAAAGAACAATTACACTTGTATTGGTTGTGGTAAACTATTTCTATTTTTAACTCCTTGGGGGTTTTACTTCTTTTTGGAATCCTTGATATATATAAGAGACTGAATTGTTGGAGAAATAGAATATTTCTATCTTTTTTGAAACAACGCTACACCAATGAGGTTTTGAGACCTCTAGTGGTTGGAATAAGACAGTATAATTTGTTTTCCTCTTTTTTGGTTTTTTTTTTGGAGAAACTTGTTGGAAGTTGGATATAATACTGGATATTGGACACAAATTTGAACTTTGAGTATCTTGGATTTATAACTGTGTCACTTTTTGTTACTTGTGAAATTGGACCTTGAACTATTTCCTCTTTTCTTCTTTACTTGGATGCTTATCATATATAACGCTTCAGAACTGGAAGAAGCTTCTCTCTTTCCAGTGGATTAGCCTGAGTGGAGGCAAGAAGACGGCACTGCAAGAATCCCGTATTGACTCATGGTGATATATATATAATTGAAGGACCATTAATAGCAATATTAAGAGGGTAAAACTGGATGACTGAATAATTAAAATTGTAAAATTGTAGAATTGTAAAATTGAAATTGAATAATTGGAAAAGTGTTAAATTGATAAATCTTGAGGGAGTGGCAAAAGGTTGCTATTGTATTGGTGGGATATAATAGAGTAAAATGTCAAACCATCGAAGAAAGCGACTGATGGGGGGACACCTGCTGAAAGGAAAGGGTCAAAACAAGAAACAGACTTTAAGGCAGATATTTTAAGAATGTTTGCGGAAATTAAACAGAGTGAAAAGAATTTAGAGTCTAAATTAGAGCAGGTGGATAACAAGATTGGAAAAATGGATAAAAAAATTGATGAAACGGTCAATGAACTGAAAGGGCAAATAAAAGAAGCGTTCAGGAGAACGCAATCTGTAGAGGAGGGATTAAAGAAGACAAGATTGGAAATGAAGGATGTTAAACGGGAAGAAGAAAGGATTAAAGTAGAGATGTTGGAATTAAATAAAGCACAAGAGGAAATGAAGGATGTAATAGCCATGAATGAATTGCGGCAAAGGGAAGTGAATTTGAGACTCAGAGCCGTGCCGGAGACACAAGGAGAAAATATCAAAGAGAAACTGATAGTGGAACTAGCGAAATGGATGGAACTGCCAGTGGAAGAAATGGCTAAAAATGTTCAGAATGCATTTAGAATGCGAGTGAAAACAACAAAAGCAAAAAGATTTACAGGGGATTGTCTGATTATATTTAAAGATAGAGAAATGAGAAACATGATTTTACAGAAGAACAGAGAAAAGAGGCTGAATATGGATGGGAATTTCATAATCATTTTTAAAGACATACCAATTAGACTACTTAAACGAAGAGATCCCTATAAATCATTGGTACAGACATTGAAGAAAAATAACATCGAATTTAGATGGGAGTTCCCGGAAGGAATATCATTTATGTATAGAAGCAAGAGACACAGACTGACAAACCCAGAAGAAACTGGTAAATTTTTGAGAAAATATAAGGAATTAAGATCAGATGTGGACGGAACCAAAGGAGCAGAGGGAAGATCACCAGGAGAATCAAAACCAGAGGAAGAAGAGGGAGAGAACGGAAAGCATACAGATGAAGAAGAAGAGGAGGAAGAAGAAGAATCAGCTAAATTATAAAAATAAAAAATAAAATTTATTTAAAATCTGGACATCATGACGTTAAAAATCTGGAATTGGAACATTAATGGGATGAATGAAAAAAAGAAGAGGAATAAAATTGAACAATTTTTAAAAAAGAAAAATTTGGATATTATTTGTTTTACAAGAAATGCACGTGGCAAGAAGACACAAAAAATATTAATCAATAAAAGATTGGGAAATGAATTTGCATCTTCAGATAAGGAGAAGAAAAGAGGAGTGGTTTTGTATATTAAAAACAAAATTGAAGCTCAACAAATTTTCAAAGATGAAGAGGGAAGGATAATCGCGGTTCGAATCAAGTGGCAAGGAGAAAACTTGATTGTAGTCGGGATTTACGCACCAAATGGTAATAAGACTGAATTCTACAAAACCCTAGAAGAAAAATTATTTGAATATATGGATCAGAAAATTATATCAATGGGTGATATGAACGGAGTGGTTTCGCTGGAAATGGATAAACTTAGAGAAGGAACAAGCAAAGAAGGGAAGTTACCAAAATCTTTTTTTTCATTGATAAAAAATTGTAATTTGATAGATATTTGGCGTCTTAGACATCCGTTGGATAAACAATTTACTTACTACTCCGAACCGAATCAGTCAATGTCAAGGATAGAGCAGATTTGGATTTCAAGCGAACTGAGTCCAAGAACCCAACAAATAGAAATTAAACCGAAAGTAATTTCCGATCATAGTCCAATAGAATTTGAATTGAAAAGTTTTGAGGAAAGAACTTTCAGATGGAGATTGAAAGACTATCTTCTGAACGACCAGGAAATTGTGGAAAAAGCACAAAAGAAGCTAA